TTCTGTGCAACTTGCAGATCAAAAATGAAATTTTTAAAAATATGTACAAGATTAAAATATATAAAAAATTGTAATATATGTTATATAAATAATTACTAAAGAATAATAAGAATCTTATTAGGTACATATGTATAATAAGTAAGTATACAAATTGTGTTCATAAATACATATATTACAATAATCATTCATGTATTATGCGTGCAGCAATTAAATTTATTATAAATTTCAATACATTTAATTAAATATTGAAGGATTTATTTAAATGTAACCAATCAAATATAAAATATAATTAAAATTATATATTATATTTGCAAATAATTGCCTCAATATATTTTCGAACTGTTTTTTCTAAGAAGTAATATTGAAGACATACAACTTTAATAAGAAAAAAAATAAAAATTTTAATCACAATCTAATCGGAAGCATTAACACAGTTATAATAATTTATGTAATTATATTTGTACTGTATATATACTATTTTGATCAAAAAGTTCCCGGAATTCATTCAGAAAATTCAAAATACAAGTTTTATTCATCAAAAGTGATATTGTCTCCTTGAAAGTACTCCCCATCAACTGCAACGCATTTATGCCGGCGCTTGATCCAGCTCTCGAAACATTTCTGGAACTCTATTGGTATCAGAACCATCTTCGATTTTTCCATTACCTCCTTTCGGCTGTTAAAACGCGTTCCCCGTAATAGTTTTTTCATGCCACTCATAAACGACTTCTTTTCTTTAGAGTATCACTGCCGAAACAGTTTCCCAAGATTTTCACACTATTGAATCCATTTTTAACGCAAAATTTAATACAAACTCGTTGTTGCAAATTCAACTCCATTTTTAAAACTGTAAAAAATCGAAAATACATGCAGAGGTAGATATACTCAAGACGGCGTAACTTTTACAAATGTCAAGCTGTGGTGATAAAATTTAGTGGGAATGTCAATGATAGATGTGGCAACCTAACCAAAAAAACAGAACTCAAATCAGCTGACTCAGAGCATCACCTGGTAGTAATTCCGGGAACTTTTTGATCAAGGTGGTATGCATGCATGACTAATCTTAAAGAAAATGCAAATAAAGAAAGCATCATCATTTGATTGACGAAAGAAACTTATTTTAATTGCAAGCAAAGTGTAAAGTACATAAACGCAACATAATAGTATTCTGTGTACAGATTTTTTATTACTTAATGTTAAAACGGAATTGTTCATAAAAATGGTCTAACGTAGTGATGTGTAACTTTTCTTAAACTAAGAGTTATTTTTTTCAAATTAATTAGATAAAATCTGTACATGTTATTGTAATATTTATATAAAATAAACAAATACAAAATTTTGTATCGTAATATCAAAAAGAAAATTATTTATAAAACTGTATACAGGAGTTCCAAAAGGTGGTACCAAATTTTAGAGGTATGTAGTACTCGTTAAAACACACCAAAAATTAATGAACAGTGCTCCGAAAACCTTTTATTTCTGAGTTATGAAGCATTTTCTTTTGTGAAAAATAGAAAATAAATTAAATCTATAATAAATGTTCAATGTGTCTTCGCTCATGTCAATACACAATTCGGCATGTTATTGAAGGTCAAAGATTCCATGTTTATTTCGTATTTGTTGACAATAGTTTCCAAGTCTTTTAGTTAGTTCATTCACGGACGTATGCAACCATCTAATTACGATTGTTGTATTTAATTTTGGATTGTGTCTAGTTTTGTGTTATCTGAAAAATGACTAATTTTTACACAAATTCTGAAATGACGGATATTCATTTTATGGCAGAGCAAAGAGTAATGCTTCGAAAGTACCACGCTTGTATCATGCAGGTTATCCCAATCGCCGACAGTCAAATAAAAGGATGTTTAGCAAAATTCATCAACGCTTACAGAGACCGGACAGTTCAAATCAAAGTTTAGTTGACTGCGAATAGACTTATTAGAATTTCTGCATTCGAGGAAATATTTTACGCACAATTGAAGAAAATCCTGGAACATCTTGTCGAAGAATCGTCCTACAAAAAAGATCAAGCCATCACACTATGTGAAACATTTTGCATGATCAACTTTTACATCCCTATCATATCCAGCATGTTCATTTTTCTATCAGTTGATTTGCAACAACGGATCACTTTTTGTCAATGGCTTCTTCATTGATGCAATCAAGATCCACAATTTTTGTGCAATATTTTGTTTACTGATGAGACATCCTTCACCAGGGATGGGATCAATAACGTTCATATACATGTTTAGGGAGATCCTCATGCTATCATAGCATCACGGGAAAATCCTCATGCTGTCATAGCATCACAACATCAGCATTGTTTTTCTGTGAACGTTTGGACAGATATTTTTGGAGATTATCTAATCGGATCTTACATTTTGTCTAATAGACTAATAGGACAAATGTATCTTAATTTTCTCAAAAATAATTTATTTGAACTTTTGAGAGATATTCCTTTATAATGTAGACAACGAATGTGGTTCATGCACGATGATACCTCATGTCATTTCCTCGTTAATGTTAGATTTAATCAATCGTTTTCAAGAAAGATGAATAGGACATGGCGGTCCAGTTATGTGGCCATCTCACCGAATTTAAATCTGGTATTATCTATGGAGACACTTGAAGAGCATAGTATATGCCACATTGCATCATTGATGCAATGAATTGACTCAGAGAATTGAAAAACTGTTGTCAACAAATACGGAATAAACTCGGAATCTTTGAACGTATATTCGATCTTCAATGAGAAGACGTGCCGAATTGTGTGTTGAAATGGACGGAAGGACACATTGAACATTTATCATAAATTTAAGTTATTTTCTATTTTTCACAGAAGAAAATGCTTTATAATTCTTATATTTCTTATAATAATTTATAAGAAATAAAAGTTTTT